GGGGGCGGGCGGATCCGGGTTGGGCCGCGGCGGCGGGGCCGTCTCAGGCCGCCGACCCGCCCCTCCCGTCCGGCCGCCGCCGCCGCCACCGCCAGGGGCTTGGTTGAGGCGGACGGTGGGTCTGGGCCGGAGTGTGGCACCAGGGCCGTTGCGCGAGAGGACAAGTGGGCAGGTGAGTGCGGGCGGCGGCCCCTCCGCGCGCGCGGCCGGAGGGGCAGACCCTTGTCGTCGCCCACCGAGTGCTGCGAGGTCGCTTCCCACCCTGGCCGGCGTCTCTCGGCCGAGGTCTGGCCCGCGCTCCGCCGGCTGCTGTGGGCCCGGGGTGCGGGGGTGGTATGCGCCCTGGAGCCTTGGAGGGGTGGGCTGGGTGCGGGGTCGGCGGGCGCCTCCTGGCCTTCGTCCTCTGGTCCTCCCGGGGCGCACTCGCTGGTGCCCCACGTCCCTTCCGAGCGTCTAACGCTCCTGTTCCCGCTCCGCCCGCCCCCGAGGTGGCTGCAGGTGCAGTGAGCGCCCGGACCCTCTTCGCTCACCGGGTGTGGCCCGGGCTCCTCTCCCTCGCGCTGGTCCGCTCGGCTCTGCGTGCGGACGGCTCTCGCTCTCGCTTCCTTCCTTCCCGTCGTCACCCCGTTGGTTGGTGAAGGCGGTGTGGCTTTTATGTTCCTCTCTCTCCAAACCTCAGGTGCCTGGCGGGTGCCCGGGTGCTAGACTCCGCTTCTCTCACTCACTTTCCAGTTATAAAAACAGACGTTGGAAATAGGTCATCTTTCTTCCCACGCGCCCTGGCCATCTTCCACACGCTTCGTGCCCTACTAGGGAGAAGAATTCAGTGCTTTGGAGTTTGTCATTCTGGCATTAAACTCTTCCTCCTCGTGGCTCCAGCCTGGCGGTGCAGCTCTGGCTCCCCGTTTCCACTCGGGGAAAAGGAGACGGTTCGTGTCGTGTGTCGGGCGCCACTTGCTGCGGGGGCTTCACCCGCACCTTGTGTTGACACGTTTAGGATCATTTGAAGGATATTGTTTTTGCTTTTCCAAATGAAGGCCCTGATGCTTCAGAAGGAAAAAAAAAAAAGTAGGTTGACAGGTTAATTTTGCTTTTAAGCACCTCGGAAGAGTTAACCGTAGCTTGGTTGCGATGCGGATTACACAGCCCTATGCGTTTGTCAAAACTCAGAACTGGACACTGAGACGTGTGAATTTTATCATGTAAATGATACCTTTTCCTCCCCCATTTTTCCTTCTCAAAAATGACCCGGCTGGTATTTCAAAACTGAACTAACCAGTAATCTTGGAGAGATTTTTCTTACTATTCCAAGTGAATGCATTTAACTCAAGGATATAGCAAAACAAGAGCTGCTCTCCCCGCCGCGGTTAACATTACTTGGTAAGACTTGCTTGAGCCGCGCGTCTGTCTCCAAGGGCTTCCCTGCGTGCAGTCCTGCCTTACCAAATTAGTCCCTGGGGCCGCTGTGATTGATCTTTTGGTCAAGTTCCAGCAGTTTCAGGAGGAGTTTTTCCTCTGTCCCAAGAAAGTAGTTCTCAAAGCTGAGTTCTCAAACAGCTACAGAAAACAGCCCCTTTTGTTGGGACCCTAAACATCCTCTGTCTTTAGCCTCCTGCTTCCCTGCCCCTTGCTGTGTGTCCTGCTTTCTCTCTGCATTTGGACTTGCTAAAAGTGAATGACTGGAACGACCCTGCCGTCTGAACGAGTGAAATGGTTGCTGCTTCTCCTCTCTCCTGCGGGCTGTCGTCTCTCGGAGCTTTTTCCCTGGAGTGGGAATGGCGTTGGGCCCCGGGATTGAACCGATGGTGCCTGCGTGTGCTGGTGGAGTGAACGTATGCGCTTGGCCGGCCCTTCTGCTGCGGAGGAAGGGGCTCTGGAGGGGCTTCTCTTCTGTGGTGAACGTCTAGGCCCCGTTTGAAATGGTGATTAAACCTCTGCTGTAGAGGCTGCTGGAAGAGGAGAGAACTCTGGAGGTTGTATGCAAATGTTTTCCATTCTGAATTGAACTGTTTTTGTTTTCAGAATGGCCTCCTTAATACCTAGAAGGGAATGACAAAGGAGGTGGCAGCTAGGAAGGAGCAACGGTAGCGACAGGCTTGCCTGTAGGTAATCACTGAATGTAGTGAAAACCAGGTACACAGCTTATGCTGCGGGGGATTTTAGTGAAAGTATGAGTGAGAATCTTACCTTCTAGCTCAGGGTGACTTTTATTTATTTTTTAAACTGATACCAATTTAGTTTGAGGAGTTTTAAGTCCCTTGAAATGTTTGAATTACATCTTTTCTTTAAAAAAAAATCACCAATCTGAAGTAGCATTTAGAAATGTAACTAATAATAGCGTCATTTTTGTGTAGTTTGATGAATATCTTTCACTGGGAGGGTTTTTATCTTTAGAAACTGGTTTGTCTGTTCTTGGCTGCTGTGCATGTTGCCTCTGTTGGGGGTGGGGAGGAAGAGTTTCAAGTGTGCTTCCTCTCCTTGTACCTAAATCCCGGGAATGGAGCCTAGATTTTGTTCTCCCCCAGAGGCGTAGCAGTCATTACAATGCCATGAAACGTTTTTGAAGAACAATGAATATATCTTCATTCTTATGTTATTTTAGAAGTTTCTGTGGCCAGTTATTTATGTTCTCAATGAGCTAGCATGCTCTGTGGGCCTATATTTTGATTTGCTCTGCATCCTTTTTTTTTTTTTGCTGCTGTCATGGAAGTGCCCATGTTGGATATCTGTTCATTCTGATTGTATTTAGCCAGTTAAGAGTATTAGACTAAGGATCCCTTGCGTTTAATTTTTTTTTAGTTTTCACTTTTGTTGCATTTACAGGTGTATCTTACTTAGCAAAATTGACTTTTGTACATTGAGTTTCTTTATATCATCTCATGTTTTCCTATTTAAAAAACTGGAGATGTTAAATATTTTGATCTGTAAATATAATTAATTTCTATGTTCATTCTCAAAGTAAAAAACAACTTTCTAACAAAATGTTAATACACATAATATAGTTTTCTATTACAAAGGAGTTAATACTTTATTTTTTAAGTTACTTAGTAGGCTTAAGGAAAAAAGTTTAATTAGCACAATTGGCAAGATTAGAAGTCCTGCTTTTTGTTGTTAAATTCACTTAGTAACTCAAGCCAGAGATTAGCTGGGTAGGCAGATTTCCAGGTGGGGAGTTTCCTCCAGGTTTTGGAAATAAACAGATTGTAAAACAAGTGGTACAAACACAGAAATTGACAATTTTCAACTGAAATAAGTTCGATTGGGAGAAAAACAATACCAAATAATTACAAAATTCAAAAACCAAAGTTAAGACTTTGAAATTCTTTCTTACTCAAGAAAGTTAATTGATAATCAAGATAAGTCTAAACACTCTTGGCTGACAATGGAAGACAAGTCTGACTCTGAAGTTAAAACTTTGAAAGGGACCTGAGGCACACTGTCTACCAAGCCAAAGTAAAAGTTTACCCGCTCAGGCCCAGTACCGGGGTGCAGAGGGACCGAGAGGGGAGAAATGCTTCCACTGTTTTGTTTTTTTTTTGAAGAAATGGAGAATTGTCTAGAGAATGTAGATAATCAGGTGTCTACATAGAATTCTTCATAAATACGCAGTGTTTTAGGTGTATCACCCATCTATGATCCTGCGCTTCACTTTCCACTTTCTCTTAGGATACAATTCATTAGGGCATAACAAAGTCTATAAAACTGTATGTCGGAGTGGTTTTAAGGTTTCAATCTTAGTAAACAGGCATGACTTCAATGTCAGTAGTTTTCTGTGAAGCACACAGTTAAGAGGAAGTGAGGATTAGTGTTGAAAATACTCATTAAAATTGCTTGTAGCGTAACATACTTACCCAGAACTAATAAAGGTGTTCATTTGTCGATTGTAATGCTTTAGTGTTACTGCATGTCACGGCTACCCGCGTGGTTTCTGCAGGTTGCCCACTGAACCGTGCCCCTCTCCGAGCACATCTGAAAGGGGTTCGTTGACTTCGAGATGTTAGGCTTCGATGAGTGGTGTTTTTTTTCTGGCTTTGTCCACTTCTGGCAGTACGTCGTGAAAGCATGTTAGGTCTGGAGAAAAAAAAGGCTTTGGAGGGCACAGAGAGCTGTCTCCAGAAATTTGAAGGGTGGCTTCTCTTTCAAAGGCAGAACTGGGACAAGTTGCAGTGAACTTTCCAACATGTAGGACTGCGGGCTCGCAGGCAGAGGTGGAGGAGCTGCAAGCGTGGTGTGCGGGGGCTGGGGGCGCCCTCAGAGCCTGGGGTCCTGCCCACCTCTGCCACCGAACCTCAGGTGCTGCGCTTGGGCTGGATGACAGGCTCATCCCTGCCTCTGTGAAGGTTTTCAGGCTGGAATTTGAAAGTGGATAGCAAAGCACTTTGACAACTGTAACTGCTACATCACATTGGATGTAATTACTTTAAACATTTTTGTGGGGTTGATGCATAACTCCAAAGGTCTCTCTCAAACCTGAAATTCCACGGTTCTCGAATCTTTATGGGAGGAATGTGGGTGGTTTCAAGGTAATTTCTTGACAGGTTACAGCTATTCCTTCACACGTAACAGTTCTTTTTTTCTGTTAGAAAGATGTAATAGGAAATGATTATTCATGATACCAAATGATTCTTTGCTTTATGAAAAGTCTTTTTTTAAATAGGATCCTCTTTTAAAAAAAATTTATTTGTTTTAAGAGAGATGGGAAGGGAGAGAGAAGGAGAGGGAGTGGAACATCGATGTGCCAGAGAAACGTTGATGAGTTGCCTCTCGCATGGCCCCAACCAGGGACCTAGCCTGCGACCCAGGCCTGTACCCTGACCGGGAATGAAAGCTGTGACCCCCTTGGTTCACGGGATGACATCCAGCCCACTGAGCTACACCAGTCAGGGCAATCTTAAGTGTACTTACGAAGTAACTCAACAGCAATTTTAAACGAAAACTATTATGTATCAAAAAGTCAATCAGAAATGGTTTAAGCATTTCAAACTGTAAATTAGAAAAATAGCAATATATTGTAGAAAGCAAGAAACATCTGTATTTTTTTAAAACCTCAAGATTGGGTATTTGTATCTGTCTATATGATAGCTCAAATTGATCTGTATGAAGATATAAATTGTACTTTCCTGCAATTGATAGGTCTGCATTCATCTTTGTAGTTAAGTAGCTCCTGAGTTGAAATTAATTCCACTTTCTTGCTTGCCTGCTGGCCTTGGCTTCTTGGTACCTTTGAGTTGTGGCACATCTGGCCCTCTTTGACAGATTGGAATGATGGGTGCTAGTTAGCCACTTAAACTGGTATAAATTAGTATGGCTTGACCTTACTGCCAGTCCCTGCCACCGTGCAAAGTGAGAACACATTTCCGACACACAAGTGTCAGTTAACATGGTGCCATGTAATGTAAAGACTGTATATCCCTCTTCAGTTCCAGTAGGAGAGAAGAAAACACCACACAGTTACTTTTCAAGGGGGAGTGCTTTCATTTTCCTAAGCCATCATCCTATAATTTGTGCTTTTAACTCAGAATGCAGTAATCTGATCCTAATGGCCTGCAAGGTATTCAGTGAGATCCTTTTCTTCCTGCACAAAGATTAGGCAGGCTCTCACGCTCCCCTCGAGTGCATTTTACAGCTGGGTGCCTGAGGTAGGGCCTTTCTCTCCTTCAGTCGGTCCAGCTGTGAAGTTGGGTGCATTGAAAAACAGATGCTGGATTTGAGCTAAGGTTTCCCAGATAGATTGCCAAATACGTGTAATCAAAAATGTTTATTCTAGTTGCATTTAGTTGAAAGCAACGGAGGAAAAATACAAATGTACACTCTTTCCACTTAGAATTTTTTGAAAAAAAGAAACCTCATGCAGCTGAATTCCATCTCAGCCTTCCCCGCCTGTGTGAACTATACTTTGTAAAGATGGGTTTAGCACCCAGCACCCCCTCCACCCCCTCCATCAGTCCAGGTCCCTGAATGTACTTTATCTTATTTCTCCTGATCCATTTCTTCCACTACACAGACTATATGTAAAAGAATCATTTGATTGGTCAGAAGTGGTTGTTGATTACAGATGCCACTTGCCACTTGCATATTAGTGATTTAAGTAATAACTGAGTATGCATTTATTGTTACTGTCTTCTAAAAGTATTTTATCTCTTAGGTAGAGAGGTTGTTAATGGACTTGCTAAATAGATTTTTTTTTTAAAGGGCCACATTTTGAGGATTCTGTAGATTTTCAAACTGTCTTGATATTGAAGAAAAGTAGATACATGTGAAACTCCCGGCACAGCTACTTCTAATAGATGCCCCTTCCTTTGAACAGCGGTAACTACAATTGTTTATAGAATCCATTTGTCTGTTAGTTCTGTATTGCTTTTTCACGTGTTTTCTTTTGTTTTAAGTATTGTTTAAATCCAGTTTTTACCATATACTTTGCTTCTCTCCAGGTAATTCAATAAGAATTTGCAAATTATACCTGATTTCAACCTTACGTTTGGGAAAAAACTTTCATTTAACATTGCACCTCTGACTAATATTTGGGATTTAACTTGAGTGAATGTGTGTGTGGGCATGTATACACACATTTAATTTAGCACAACATTATATTTTTCTAATGAAAATCTTTGAAATAAATGCTGAAGATAAATATGAAACTTTGAGACGTCTAATAGGTAGTTTTTCCACTGAGAGCACTGAGTGTTCAGGATGCCCACTCAGCTGGTCCGTTTGCTGAAACTTGGAGTGTAGCTCCAGATTCAGCTGAAATCACAATAAAAATTATCCATTGTATATAACAAATTCTTGAATTCTAAGTGAAAAGGGTAGGTAGTTATTTCAAATCTGTGGTGTTGGGGAAATCTGTGTTAGCTAATGAAGGGGGGTGAATTTAGGAAACATTTCATACTGGTTTGTAACACCATCTCAGACTTACTCCTAAAATGTAGTTTTTCTTCTTTAGTATACTTTCTTCCTTGAGCCTCTGTTTAGTTACTGCCTCACCTAAGTACTTGAGGAATTCTCCCTGCTGTGAGCCTTGGTGGCTTCCCTACAGCCTCTTCCCTGAAGGCACAGGCGTGGCCCTCCCTTGTTTGGCCGTAGGCTGCAATAGCTCCGGGGGCCCAGGGACCCGCAGAGCCTGTTCGGGCCTGTGCCCGTGGGCTTGGAGACTGCCTGTGAGCTGGACAGAACGCTGCAGGACTTCAGGCTGGGAGCCGCGGCTCCCCTGTTAGGTTCTGGGCCAAGTAGCAGCAGAGTCTCAGCCCCCTGGCACAACCGTCATTACACTGGCCTCCGCAGGTGTGGCGGGAATACAGGGAGGCCGTGGGCAGGATGTGCCGACCAGCGCAGAGCGCCATGCGAGGCTTGTGCCCCGGTCGTAAGTGGCTGCTGGAGAGGGACTTGGTCCTGCTCTCTAACGGCCTGAAAAACCCACCTGTGGACTGGTCGGGCCATTTCTTAACATGGTGGATCATACAGGAAGGACCTCATTTGAGTCTGTGCTCCAAAACCCTGGGCAAGGCACTTGGAATGTCCTGGGGAGCGCAGCGGAAGGACTAGATAGCTCGCAGAAGCAAAGGGGGAGGCCACAGGGGTTGTCACTTTTATGCCCAGATGGTAGTTTGTGGTCCATGTATGTGTGCATAGGTATTACCTCTGCGGCATCACGAGATAAGCATGTTAGTATACGTAATAAAATCTATATAATTTGAAAAAAAGAGTAAAATGTCCTTCTACAATAGATTTCGTAGGGAAAAAGGGATGAATTTTTCTTCCAGAGACTCCAAAGTAGAATTTTTTTTCGTTTGAGAACCTCTGAGTACTATTTGTTACACTTTATTTTTTTCTGGAAGGACACTTCAGGCTATGGCCTGTGGGAGATAAAATCTTAGCACCTTAAGGCTAAGTCGCTGCAGTGCCACATTTTATTTCTTGACTTCTTTCCCTGGAAATTTAATGTTTTCTCTTTGTCTTTTTTCTTTTCTTTTTTGTAGTCAGAAAATGGGTAAGAAGAGTCGAGTGAAAACACAAAAATCAGGCACTGGTGCTACCGCAAGTGTGTCACCGAAGGAAACCTTGACCCTGACCAGCGAGCTGTTGCAGAGTAAGTTGCGCTCTGGGCCCCCCGCCCTTCCATGGGGCGCCTGTGTCGGTGCCCCTGCGTCTGCAGGGCTGCGTGGGAGCGTCACTGTCCCCCGAGACATGAAGAGAGCCGTGGCACCTGGGTGGTTACGGAGCCTCTCCAGCTGCAGTCCCCCCGCCCCTGTGCCCTCTGCCCCCGCTGCTGCCGCCTGTCGGAACTGCCCGCGGGGCTGTGGGACCGGAATGAGCCTGGCCCCAGCGTGCGGCTCCTTTGGGCGGCGGTGGGCAGAGTCACTCTTGACTGTGTTTCCGCAGTGTGGCCGCGGACCGAGATTTAACCCCCTGGGTCTCAGCGTTCATCTTGTCACAGAAAGACCGCCGTGGGCATGTGATGAGGACCGCGTGCGCCAGGGCATGTGAAGGCGCGTCATGGGCCTGCAGGCCAAGGGGAGCACGGCGTGCCCCTCAGAGAGCAGGCGTCTGGAATGGGGCCCTTAGCAGGGTGGCTCTCTTTGTTTTCAGTGATTCAGTTGTAGTTTTTCAGTTTTCACGTGCTGAAGTCGTGAGTTCTAGGTTCCAGGGGATTAAATAACTTGCTTTAGTAAATTAGTATAAACTGGCAACTTTTTTTAAAATGGAGATTTTTAAATAGGTGCTGTGTATGTTTTAGATTTAGCTGTGGTCACTCTGTTAACTTACTACATTTGTCTCATTCACTTGTTCCTTATGTTTGGATTATGTGACAGGCTAAACCACAAATAAAAGTTTAGCTTTCTTTCCTGATAAGCAGGCCGCAACCATGTCTGGGTCGGTCCTTTGCTGAGTGCTCCAGGGACCCCTGTCTGCCCTGCCCCGCAGGGCAGCGCGGTGCTGAGCGCCTCCCCGCCAGACTGCAGGCAGCTTGAGGACAGGCTCTGTCTTGCGTTCCAGGACTTGTCGATGGAAGAATGAGTAAGACTGTCAACCTTAATAGTCATGAGTCAGCATACAGCCACTGTTACTTACGTACCCCGTGTAGGCCTTTTCTTGGAAAGCGAAGGGGCCGAGAGGTCCAGCAGGAGTACGGGAGGGGCTCTCTCTGAACTGAGACCATTGGTTAAACAGGAAGGAGCTGCCGGCAGGCCACGGGTGCCCAGGGTCCAGCCCGGCCTTCAGAATGCCGGCCCGGTCTCGGCTGCTGGTTCCGTCGGCTCTGGCCCTGCAGCAGAGCCTCAGCTTCTCTTTTAGCACCGACTGTGCCGCCTCGTTTAGAGACTCCCCCAGAGCGCTTAATATAGGGGCTTACCCACGCATGCGAAGTGTTTGCTGACTAACAGTCCTTATGTCCAACTCACTGGTTCCCTGAGGGACCCGTTGTGGCGGGGTTTAACTAGAAAGAAATGTTGACTTTCGGTGTCAACATTCTAGGTCTTTTACCACCGAGAACAGTTTTCAGGGCAGCGGTTTGCACTTCAGTGTAGCTTTGCAGGTCTTCCTGGTCACAGTTACACTCTGAGGAGAATGTATCGGCAGCCAGAATGAGGCGGGTGCCAGCCAGGGGCTCACCCTTCGGCACCGGGGGCCCAGCTGGGTAGGTGGCGTTCGAATGGTGTCAGAGGGGCGCGTGCTTGAACAGCGTCCCTCATTCATGCCTCACGTTGGTCATCGTGGCTGTGGTCTCTTTGTCCTTGAAGAATAAATCAGTACCAACAGCCCAAACCCCCTTTCTGCCCCAGAGCGCAGGCTGAGGCGAGAGCACAGTCTGAGCGCGTGGCTTGTGTGTTGCAGAATGCAGCGGCCCGTCCCCCGGCCCGGGGAAGGAGTGGGAGGAGTATGTGCAGATCCGGTCTCTCGTGGAGAAAATACGGAAAAAGCAGAAAGGTACCTTTTCTGGAACGAAAACCGGGGTTGAAGGGAAGTGTGTGGGGACGTGGTGTGAGTGCGGAGGGCGTGGGCTGCAGCCGGGGCCCCGGGCGTTCGTCGCCTCTGAGAGGGCGAGGGAGGGCGCGGGCGGGCGCGGGCGCTGGGCGGGGGGAGATGGGACTCCGCTCTGAGATGCTGTCGCCTGCTTCGGGGGGCTGTTTGTTTCTGGGGGTAGAGTGACACGACTTTCACGTACCTTTATTTTGTGACGTACACGTTTAAATGTTTCTCTGAACCATGCTCCAGTCAGGGCCTGAGTCAGCCCAGAACGCTGTGTACGGTCCGCCTTTACGTCTATACTGATTGGTTCACGTTCACCAAGATTTATGATGAACTCAGTCATATTTTGATTAATTAAGAGATGCGGTCTGTGTCCCACGCTGCGTTTTCACGGGTACATTCAGGAGACAGGGACTCATTCTCGGTTGGGCTGGTGACGGCGCCAGGTGCCCGCTGAGAAAGCCTGTCCAGCGCTCCTGTGGCTTCAGCTCTGAGAATCACAAGGACGGAAGATTCGTATTCAGGGCCGCGGGGGAGGCGGAGGGGAGAGCTTGACAAGGAGCCGGTGTCTGAGAGGATGAGAACTTCCGGGCTCCCTGTTTGTTTGTTGTCAGGAAAGCGAGTCAGGAGAGGGCCGGTCTATCTGCTCTCTGAGGAGGCAGCTTTAGTGCGCCATCGTGCCCACCTGCGCACAAGCAGCCCTGGGCTGGATGGTCTCACACCCCACATGGTGACAGGCCCTTTGGAAGGTGCTTGTCTGCGCCACATGGAGACTGCTGATCCTGGCTCACGGAAATGCGGCTGCGAAGTTCTGTTATGTCCCGCGTGTCTTCTGAGCAGAGGCCGTTCACACAGCTGACACCAGGGCCAGGAGGGCTCAGTCGTTCTCGGCGAGTCTCAGATGGCCCCTAACAGCCGCAGTCCCCTTCCCTCAGCACGGCCCGCAAACCGGGCCTGGCACAGCGCCGCGCCGCAGCAGGCCGCGGCTGCACGCGCGGGCCGTTAGTCACATGGCAGTGGCAAGGCCACTGGCGCCCGGGCCGGCCGCCGCCCCTCGTGTTAGCGGCGTTCCTGTCCTCCTCCCTTGTCTCATCAGAAAAACAACGCTGTTTCCGGTGCATGGCTTTTCACCTTTCTGAAAAATACCCCAAGCTGAAAAATCCAGGAAGCAATACAACGTTGCCTAAGAAACTACTACCCAAATTGAATTTATGTCAGACCCTGACCTGTTCAAGTTCGCTTTCCCTCCTTTCACCACACTGCTCCGATTCCCTCTCCCTCCCTCCCTTGTTTAGTCTATTTTGTATTTGTTTTTAAGAAGTAAGTGTTACACATAGAGCTAGCTAAAGCCCTAGGCTTCCGTCCCAACCCCTTCCCTTCCCCCTAGCTGCAGGTGTTGCCTTTATTGTGAATGTTTTTCTACTTCGTGTGTAACCCCATAAAAATATATGGTAGTAATTGGTATTTTTAAAATGTACACAAGTGGTATTATACCACTTGATTTTAAAAAATACGGTGTAATTTTTTGTATTGGTACATATAGATCCAGCTCATTCCAGTTGCTCCACAGGACGCTGGCACGGAGCTCTCCGGCTTTGTGCTCCTGGAGCCCGGGCTCGCCCTGACGCATGCCCTCCCGCGCACGTGCGAGCAACTGGCGTCTGCTGTCACGGGCAGCTTGCTAAGGGGGACGCGTGCGCGGGAGGCGGCGCGCCGACTCACGGGCAGCTGCCCCGTCCGGCTGCGGTGGTGGGGGTTTCACTCCGGCCCACCACATCGCCTCAGTCAGCGTTCCTGTGACCTGGGGCTCCATAAATAGTCCTCTGACCCACAGGGAGCTTCGGATTTCAGGTCGCCTTTCCTATCACTGTGTGCTGTAACTGGTGATGAGCTTTGATTTTTTTCAAGATTGGAGTGTTACTGCTATTTCCCATGTTAGTTTCTGCCTGTTCTTTTTGTTTTCTGAGAGTAGCGTGAATGATACGTGTCCTAAAAGTAGCTATTGTTTTGTTACACGTGGCTCTATACAGGTCTGTCTGTTACTTTTGATGGAAAAAGAGAAGATTACTTTCCTGACCTAATGAAATGGGCCTCTGAGAATGGAGCGTCCGCCGAGGGCTTTGAGATGGTTAACTTCAAAGAGGAGGGCTTTGGGCTGCGAGCGACGCGGGACATCAAGGTGCGTTCGTGGGCTGCTGGCCTGGGCGGGCGGGGGCGGGGTGTGTCTGGGCCGAGCCGTGCGGGGGAGGCAGGCCGTGGGGCCCTGCGGGCTGCGGGGCAGGGGCAGCCAGCCTCCCCTGCTGCGGTGGTCCCCTCACTGACCCCGTGTTCCGGGCAGCTTGCAGCTCGTCTCCCTTGGGAGCCGTGACTGGGGGCAAGTCAGCTCATGTTCGCGGGCCTCCGTCAGGAGACCGGGGAACGTGCCTCACGGGATTCTGAGGCTTAAGTACAGAGGAGGGTGTGCGCGCAGGTGGTGCGCGGGCAGAGCGCCGGGGCCCTGTGGCGGATTGGATGTTGGGGGGCAGGGTGGAGGTCGCTGACCCGTGTTCCGGAGCGGACGCCCGGGTGGTCGGAGGCGCCACTTGCTGAGATGGCAAACCGGAGGGACACATGTGGTGAGGGACAAATGCTTTCCCTCACTCTTGGTCCCTCCTTCCAGGTGGGGGGGCAGAAGCCTCCCGCTGCCTCACACACCTGCCTCTCCCGGGGAGACTGGGGGATGGACGGGCTTGGGAGAAGCAGTGGGGGCTGGCCTTTGGCTCGGGCAGAGCTGCTGCCCATATGCGTTTGCGGAGCTGCGCTCTCTCCAACCCCTAAGTTTTCTGGGGGCCGCCTCGTGTGAGGAGGCCGCCGCGGCTCCCGTTCTGCCTGTAACTAGGTGGGGGAGGTCCGTCTAACTCCGGGATTCAGTAAGAGGTATTTTGGGCGACCGTCTGTTGGAGTCCTGTGTCTCTCTCAGTTGGTTCAGAACTTGGGTAGAAGCAGTGGATGTCATTATTAGGCCTCCTCAAACCTTCAGCATCATTTTTGGCCAGGTTGTAGTTAACCTTTCAATGATACATTGGTTTATTAGATATTTATTAAATAACCTAGTGTGTCAATGGCGCCTTGCTTGTTGTTACACCAGGCTTTTGAAAAAGCCCAAGTTTCTTCCTTCATGGTGTTTCTAGTCCGTAGTGCGGGACAAGGCACACATAAACATAATTCAGATGGCAGATAGACGTGGGGAAACAGCAGGAGTAAACAAAGTGTCACAGGTTCTTCTCTTGCATCAGACGAACAGCACACCTGAGCTGTGGTTTGTCTTCACTGAGTTTTTAAAGCCCATTGAGGTATAGCTGATAGGTAAAAGAGTTGCACATGTTTAATGTGTACATTTGGATGAGTTTAAACGTCCACATACACCCATGATACCGTTACCACGGTCAAGGGGCTGTAAGCAGTATGAACATGCATGCAGACTCTACCCAGGGAAGGCCATACACTGTCAGAATGTGAGCTGACCCTTCGGGGGGGGAGTCAGTAGACTAGAATCTGTCCTGTGGGCTTGTACCCTTGCTGGTGACTGTCGTGTTCTGGAGACAGGCATGTGGAGGAGGGACTGTCACTCCAGCTTCAGACACTCAGGAGTGGGAGCAGTTCACACGGACAGAGTCAGGGTTTTGCTGGAAGTGGGAATTTTGTTTTGTTTTTGGCACTTAAAAATACAAGTACAGCAAAGAAAAAAATAAACACTTTTGTGCTTTATCCAAAGTTGTCACGCTTACTTTATATTGAAGTCGAAAGTCTCTGTCGTGGTTGTCTTCTCCGTACATGTAGTTAGTTTTTCTACTGGAGACAGGATTTTAAAGCAGCTTCCACTCACTCAGTGACACCGTAAATGCTCACATTTAAGATACATTGGGTAAGGAGAAATGAGGTGCCGACCTGCACCCTTAAATTCTCTGCCATGTATGGTGGGGTTTCTGACCAGAGACCCAGTTGAATTCAAGGCTGTAATGTATTGTGTTTTCATGATTCTACTGTTTTCTTATTTTTTTTTCTCCTAGGCAGAAGAATTGTTTTTATGGGTCCCACGGAAATTACTAATGACTGTTGAATCTGCTAAAAATTCAGTTTTGGGTGAGAATAATTTCTGACTGTTCATAGCAAAATGAAAGTGATAGAAATATATGAAATTTCATTCTGTGGCGCTAAGGACCATATTCGGTTGTTTTTCAACTAGTGAACTTCTCCCCCAAATCTGTATTAGGTGTTTTCTACGCTTATAATCTCACATAGACAAATGTCAAAAGAAAGATGCATGTCACGTTAAACGTTACCGTACTGCTTAGTGAGTTCCATGCCTTCAGTAATAGAAGTGAGTACTTTTTAAAGAAGCTGTTGAACTTACGCTGTTGACGTCCGGGTTACTTCAGGGCCCTTGTATGCTCAAGATCGGATCCTTCAAGCCATGGGGAACATCACGCTGGCCTTTCACCTGCTGTGTGAGCGCGCGGACCCGAACTCCTTCTGGCAGCCCTACATTCAGACCCTCCCCAGTGAGTACGACACCCCTCTCTACTTTGAGGAAGATGAAGTCCGGTCACTGCAGTCCACGCAGGCTGTCCATGACGTCTTCAGCCAGTACAAGAACACCGCTCGGCAGTACGCCTACTTCTACAAGGTGATCCAGGTGAGCCTCCGACGCCCCCTCCCCAGCTCTGCTCTGCGGGGATGGGGGCTGGTCACCCAGATGTTCACGGGACACCTCAGGACGCGCCAACACCGTGCATTTTCAGGTATTCTAGGCCGGTGTTTCCATTTTTACAGAGCTGTCGCTGAAACGTGGTTTGAGTGTATTTGACTTCATCGGTGTCCGGTGTTAATATAAACAACGGTATTCCCAAGTGAGGAAAGTCATCAGGTTCTTATGGAGGCAAATTCCAATGAAAATTTCAGTGCTCTACAGTATAATATAAAAACGTGTCTGCATGTTAATTTTCCAAGAAAATGAAAATTCATTTGTGGGTTCTTTCTATGTATTGGTAGTAAAATGTTGACAATTAATTTACTAAATCATAATGCTGATATTTCTATTTCTTCCAAGTGTTCTGTGTATTAACATTAGCTACAATTTAGTTCTAAGTAAAAGTGTCATAAGTCTCTGTAAGGTTTAGAACGACGCCTCGGGGCCCATGGCTAATAGGAGGAAGCTTCCTGCGAGAAAGACACTGTGGTTGAAGCCGCCTCTGCCGGCTGCTGTGGTAATTGAGGGGGGCTCGGGGCTGGCCTGCCAGGGTTCGAATCCCCATGTTACCACTTCGAGCTGTGTCGTCTGTAAAATGGGATAGTACAGCGCTCCTGGGATGCGGGGCGGGCGGGGTGAGTCGATCTGTGCAGGTTCCTCAGCACAGGCAGACTTAGGACAGAAATGCCCCACTTAGGGTCCCGTTTTGTGTTTCCATCCTTCAGGCCATGTTGTTTGGTTCTGTTGTTATTTATTTTTTAAAATTGCTTCTCCCCCCTGTTGCCACAGTACTTTATGTTAGTATTTTTTAGTCTTTTCTACTAAGAAACTCCCATTCATATGTAACCCAGCTCAAGATCAAATGGCTTCAGAGTTTCACGTTTGGTTGCTGGTCTTTGGATTCATGTTTTTAAATCTTGAAAATTAATGCAAATGTTTGCTGTGGTTTTAAATACCATGTTAAATGACACATTGTCAAGTCGGATGGGCAGTGCAGGAAAACAGCTTTCTCTCCTGTGACTCCCACATGCCCCCGGTGTCCCGGGAACCCGCCGCGTCCCAGCCGGGAGAAGCACAGCTTCCCGTGTACCGCACGGCCGTCTGGCAGGATGTGCGGTCTGGTTGTGGTTCTTGCTCAGAAGGAGAAACTGTGGCTGTCCTTCAACATTAGTGTGACCGGGCAGCAGGAGGAAATCGTTCCAGAATGAGATGCGGTCACGGTGAGCTTGGCAGGAGAGTTTATAACCAGGGCTTCAGTGTCAGCACGAGAACCCTTTTGGACACCCAGATGGTATAGCCGTGCAGTGGAGGGCTTCCGCGTGAAGGTTCATGGCAAAGAGAAACAGACTTAAGCAGAAGTTTTTAGAACATCGTATTTCAAGTCTAGGTGTTTGTCTGGTTTTAGAATATTCTCATTGCTTCCAGAAGTCATCAGTAGCAACCCCGAGTAAACATGAATGTGAGCCTCAAACTGCCGTTACGTTACTAGCTCCCTGTTTTCTCACATCAGTGCCAACCCACGTCCCTCCAGTGTCTCCAGGAGCAGATGTGAGGCGCATTGTCACTCAGGGAGAAAGTGGGTTGTGTTGCTTCAGTTCATGGTCACCATTTTCATATTTTCATTCCAGTGACCCTCCCTCGGGTTGATTTTTTTTTTTTTTTGGCATTGTGACCCTTAACCTGAGACAGGAGTGCCGCGCGTTAGCACCTGAGGCCGGGTGCACACGTGTGTGTAGATTGTCGACGTGAGCAGCACTGAGAGGGACAACTGTGGTGCACTTGTGCGACCTCATCTCCTGGTGGCAGTTCCTGCAAGGCCGTGTCCCACGCTGCCGCTCCCCAGCGGCAGGGGCGTTCTGCCCCCAGCACTGACGCCCCGTTGGTCCCTCCCCTCTGCCTGGAAACCTGTCTGAGAGTCTCCTTCTCAGATAAACCAGCCCACCTGCTCCTCCGGGCCTTGGCTTTACTCTCTTCTTTCTGTTTCTAACCCAGTGTATCCCGATTGTGTATTAATTCAGCTAATATTCATTGTCTCACAAGTGCAAGATGCCACACTTGGGGATGGGCTGGTATCTCTAGGGATGCAAAGATTTTTAAAACTTTATTTTCAAATAACTTTTTAGACTTCCAGAAAAGTTGCAAGCAGTACACAGTTGGAAGCGTGGTGCTGGGCACGGGAATCAAACCGGCGACCTCGCTCTGCGGGACGGTGCTCGGCCAGCTGAGCCCACCGGTCAGGGCTGTTCCGAGTTTTAACCTATAAAAATACTTCCGGCAGGTTGGGACATTCCAGAGCTCTCCTGACCTCATTCCCACTTACATTCTTCCCTGGAGGCAGTGACGTTCCATTTGTACCATTTCTGTTCCAAGCCGGTGTCATGGCAGTGTCACATCTTCTGACTGGGGGGCTTCAGGGGCTGCAGGAGCGAAGCGGGAAGGAGTGGAGGCGGGGGCGGGGGTGGGCAGGGGGAGTCGTGAGCACAGAATCCAGGTGTGTTCCTTGGGCTGTGGCAGCAGGAACGGGGCGGAGGCCCTGGGACGGCGGGGGTGGGGGGGATGGTTTCTGCCGCCAGGCCACTCCCTGAGGCGGCGGGGGCCTGTTTCCCTGGTGCAGCCGTGCTCTGCGCGGTGTCCTTGGGGACTGACCAGGGAGGGTTGGAGTGGGGCAGAGTGGCTCTGAACACGTACTAAGAAACCCAGAGCCACAGCCGATGCCACGGCACCTGCCCGCCTGGTCAGTGTCCTCCCCAGTTCTGCTTTAATCCTTATGGTCGGTCACCCGGTGAGGGAGGCTCTTCTTCCGTTTACAGATAGGAACCCAAGCTGTGGAGCAGGGCGCCTGAGGCTCAGGGCACCCAGGCCTGGGCTGGCGTCATAGCAGGTCAGCCGGCCCGCAGCCCGTCCTAGCCATGGGCGGGCTGAGCCTCCGTCCATCTCTGAGGCTGCTTTGGTCTTAGATAGGGGACACACGAGTCGTCTGGTTTTAAGGGCAGGGCTCGCTTGTTTGAATCTTTGTGGCCGTCCCTTCGCAGAAAGCCGACCGCCTGCCAGGCCTGTGCTCATGGGGCCGCCCCCGCGCCAGCGCCGGCCTTGCCGCTGGCGGTGTCATCCAGCTCCCAGGGGAAGGGCCCTCCTGTCCAGCTTTGGTCCCCACTGTCCAGAGGTGGGGGACGTTCGCTCCTGGAGGAAGCCCGCAGGCCCCTGGTTTCCTGCAAGCTGGGACGAAGCCCGTGGTCCTCTCTCTTTTCGTTACCCTTATCAGTTTGACTTTCAGTGATGCGAAGAATGCGAAAACACCAGGACCTTAGGAAAATAAGTCCAGGCAGGCATGTTCTCTGGAGAGTTTCCAGTTCCTTTATCTTTGTTAGAGCCTCTGGCTGTCTTGCTGAAACACCCTGCCCTTTGTCCTTCTTTGTTCCTGGTAGCTGACCTGGTCCGTGAAGAATTTGTGTTAAATATTTTTCTTATTGGGTCCTTCCTTATGGTTTCTGATTTTGTAAATCACTCATCCTAAATGTATCTAATTTTCATCATTTTCGAGATGTGGACCACGTCTTGTACTGTTGTGGAAATTCATTTTAGCAGTGAGTCTCTGCTGAGCAGATCATCCACAAAAGTGCCCATATCACGTAACAATTGCTGTTCAGTTCTTCCAGCTCCACCCCGCTGTCCATCCTATACCCAGCTGGCCAGCTCTGGCTTTCCGTTGACATTTTCGTAGGATGCAGTCAGTGTCCTGGAGAAGAAAGGACAGACCGTTCCTTAGGCTGAGCCTGCCGCCTGCTAGGTCAGCGTCAGCCTGGTCAGGTTAAGGTGGGGCCTGAGCTCCCTCCTCTGTGCAGTGGTGGGCGCCTGCCGGCCAGGCTGGAGAATCGAGCAGTGCCCAACCAGGCCCCGAGACTGTCCTCAGGTCTCCGCCAGACCACGGCCCTGCTGAGGCAGCCCTTCTGTTTGGAGAAGACTGCAGTTAGAAACCACTTCTCTTAGGGAGGCAGAATATGCCGCCTTAGGACCCTCATCTCATCTTTTTTTTCTGACTTTTTGGAACAAAAGAGTAGATTTCATCTCCTGTATCAAGTCTCCTCTCCAGCTGGAGCGTTCGTTCCGCAGACCCTGCTGTGGGTGCACCTGCATGGCATCGGTGCGTCACCAAATCAACCAGGAGCTCACCCTCTGGGGATGTCGCATTAGTTCAGTGAAAAGTGACATTTAAGGGCATAGGTTTTAAAAATGGGGAAATTCAGAGAAGGAAGAAGGAAGAGTACGTGCAGCTGAGAAGCTTGAGGAGGATTTTTTGGTTTTCTTAAATGGGAGATGTGGCATTGGGGAAGGTACTTACTGTATTAATGTAAGTGGTCTCCTGCGTTTGTGTAGGCCCTTCCAGCGATGAGCTGTGTGCACGTCCGCCTCTGCAGCCTGGCCTCCTTGTGTACGATGGGCCCGTCGCGCGCCCAGTTAGGAGGGAAGAAGGCTGCCGCTCAGAGGGGCGGCCTGGCCCCGGCGAATGGGGCTCCGCCTGCTCGTCTCCCTGACAGGCCCTGGAGCCCCGTCCAGATGCATCCAGTGTCGAGACGTGTCACTGGTGGGCATTCCGTGGGCCACTGCTCTGCGTCTCAGGGACGCGCCCTGGCAGTCCCACCCCATGACCTTTTTCTTCCAAAGCATATACGTTTCTTCATTTGTTTGTCTTTGCAACTGAACTGTACGCTTCCCAAGGGTGGCGGCTTTGTTTCCCTTTTTAGTTAGAACATGCCTAACACAGAGAACGTGCTCAGTCATCATTTCCTGAATGAATAAAGCGATCAGCCAGTGACCAGAACAGCACCAGGTAACATTTACTGGAACTCCGGTCAGACACTGCACGATTTCATTTCCTTCTGTCAAAGCCATGTGAGAGGCAGGGTCATGTGCGCTCTCCTGGGAAGAACAGGCCTGGGAAGCCTTCA